CACAACCACACAGTACAGTGTGACAAACAACGCCAGCCTCTGCAGCGCAAAGCAAAAAACCTGTGACATTTTAGAGGAAATAATATGAACTCATCCTCTGTGACCAGATTTTGCCCCTGCTGCCTAATCCTTGAGTGCAGCCTAATTAAGTACAAACAGCAGTCCTCAGTTAATGCCAACAAGTGGGCTGCTGCTACTGCTGCTGGATCAGCTAATTTATTAAAAGGGTGCACATTTCTTGTTTTTGCATTCTAATGCAATTGCTCACCCATTATGACCATGTAATTGTGCAGTCATTAATTGTGCATCCAGTCTATAATGCAAAAAGGCTCATCATGACTGGAGTTTTTTGTTTTTTTTTTTTTGTACCGAGGAACTAGAGACAGGTTCTCTCAGCTGAATAGGGATTTACCCGAATGGACTGAGATACCGGAACGATGGCGCTATCGTAATGCTTTTGTGCAAATCAACATTCATGCCTTAGTGTAGTCTATTAGAAGATGTCAGAGGATGAGAACAAGGCCTCGTTCGCTGTTTGAATCATGACTCATTTGTGTTCAGTACTTTCATGTGCCTCATTCTTTGCCATCTATTCCCATCCTGCCCTAATGTTCTACCGATAAAAATGTCCTATTCATTCTGCGTTCCTCACCAGTTGCTACAGAGAGAGAGAGAGAGACAGACACTACAGGCATTGAATAAAAAGCACATCTATTTCTGCGAGCATGGTTGAAGATAATTATTGATTTGAAATAAGAAAAGATAAGGTTCAACCTTGAGAAGCCCGGCGATAGCACGCAGAACAGAATAATTAATGGGCCTGTCTTGTGTCGGGACAAGCTTTCACACTGAGATGAGCGTATTGATTTTAAACAGATAAACTGTGTAACCCTTTGTGAAGGGTTTGACAAACAATTTAATTGGGGAGAAAAACAACAATATTCCTCACCCTTTCCATCTCCCTTTCATCACATCCCTGAGCTGTTTTTCCTCCACCTGACCTATGGAAACAATTACTGTGCATCAGGCCTTGTTCTGCCTCCAGACTACCAAGGAAGGCTGGTGTAGGATGCACATGCTGATTGGGGAATCTAATCACTGGTGGAACCTGTCTCCACTCCAGATGCCTGTGTTGAAACTGGGATTACTGAAGCCTTTTAGCTGTATTGCCCTTTCTCAGCTTCTGTCAGAGAGAGAGAGAGAAAGATTGATCTGCCTGTTTAAATGTACCTGCCTGCTATAGTTGAAGCAGAGATAATTTACTGTTCCTGTAAAGCCCCCCACCTTCCTAATCCCCAAGGAGCACAGCAAAGAAGCCACAGTCCTCTCTCTTCTTCCCTTGCCCTCCCCTGATTAGTGATACGGGCTATTTGATCATGTTTCCCTGCCTGTCCTTGTGATTTGTAAGCTGTTTAAACGTGAACGAGGCAATTAAATAAGGACGAACGGCGCGTAGGAGAGTGGGTGCCACGGTGATCATTAGCGATGAATTACCCCGGTATGCACTCAAACACTCGGGAGGACTTTCAGGCAGGCCACTCTTGAGGATCCAGATCCAATCTAGCCATTGATTAACAGAGACTTGTTCTTCCTGTGAAATCACTTGATGGGGAATTTAGGGCACTCATCCGGTCTTACCAAGATAGGCTAACATCAAAGGCAAGTGAAGAGGGATTGGGTAAATGGGCTCACCTTGCCCTCTATGTAAGAGACTTTGAGGAGCAAATCTTGAATTATTGCCTCATGTAAATAATCTACTTGGCACATATTTGGGGGAGGTGAGAGAGGAACTTGTGAGTCACTGGGGGGAGAGAACACTCATAGTACATTGGAAACTCTCGTTTCCCCTGATTGGAAACAATGGTGGGTGCTCCATCCCCAGGAATGTAAACAACATGATGTTCCTCATTTGTGTGATCTGTCCCAACAATTTGAATGTGTTAAGCCCAGGAGATGTAGAGGTATTACTGTAGATTTTGAGGAGTGCTCTCATATCCTCTGAATACAAATATTGCATTCAGACGCCTACTTTCCCTAATTTAAACATGATTTAATTCAGCCTGAATAAATAAGTGCCTGTATTAGTCTCAAATTGGAAAGTATGAAATTGAAAAATAGTACTGTGCCTTTAGTTAAGAGTGGTGTTTATCTAGAGTGTCAGTGGCAGTCTGTAGTAAAGCACATAATACTGTATAACACACTTTGTCCATACATTAGTGGAATGCATGGCATATCTGGAACTGCTCTTCTGTCGAACAACACCAGTGGGTATTAAAAGCAGAGGTTACTGGCTGAGGACATTTTGTTCAAAACAATTTCTTCTTCTCAGCTCCCTCCCACCACCAAGCGAGCTTATACTCCAGTAGATAGAAAGGGATTTTCTCTCCCTAAATGGCCAAAGGGGCCATTTATGGTGTCACTACTATGGGATCACATGATGTTTGAGGGTGTAAAGGTCTCGAGGCAGCTGCTCCCTTTCGGATGGGATTTTCGAGGCGTCCAAGAGCAGGGCCCCATGCTGTCTGCACTGAAAGGTGGAGCAAATACTTCTAGGGAAGAAAAAAAAGTGAAATCCTCAGAAGCTGTGTGTCTATTTGAAATAGGTTCTGGAGTCCCTTGGCTGCCTTCATGTTATAAACACCCACAGTGCTCAAATTCTTCCTTTGTCAAGGAGTCATAACAGGTGTCTCAGGAAGGATTTTTTTCCCCTCGGTTAGCATATTTTCCACTTGCATGGAAAGTTTTTTTTTTTCTTTATTGGGAACATCCTGCCCTGGGTAGACCCCTTGCCTTGAGACATGATATGCAGGCTTCCTTTGAAGCAGTAAAGGTTACTTTCACACTTGCTCAAAATTCGGCCATGCCTAGTTAAACCAGGTTGAAATACTGAACACCCCTAGCTGACATGTGTTGGTAAGCCATGATGCACTTTGCATACAAATTACTTCTGTTTGCAGTGAGTATATATTTCTAAAATAATATTATATGTTTATTAAATCTTATTATATATTTCTAAAATTGTAGTTTGCTCCCCCTTAATGTCCCTCTGAAAATCTTTTTTTAATCCTTCTAAGGGAATGCATTGGCACTGTGTAGCAGAGCCTTTGCACTACCCTTGGGATTATGCACAAGCATTTTCTCAACAAACGCTCTCACTCAGTTAGTTTAAGTTGGAATTACACATAACACCAGTGGGAATGGTGTGGTGCAGCTTGAACTATTTACTGTGTCATTGGATTTTTTCCCCCCTGATCTAAATGCACTTACAAATGGACAGTCCTCAATTGAGTTGAGAAAAAAGTCAAGGACCTCCTAATGTGGCGTATCATCTTGACTGTAGTTAGGTCAATTTCCTTAGCAGGGTGTACACGTTTATATAGCCAGCCCCCAGGGAAGCTGTTTATGTGGATGATGTGTAGAATACACATTATTCATGTTCACAGCCCCCCAAGATAAAGACTCCATCTTGCAGCATACCCCCGCTTTTCATCACAGTGTGCCCAAGTATTGATGTTATTCTTATTTTAAATGGCAGTATGATGGGGAAAATACAAAAATGACAAAGCCACCATCGGTGTTTTCCGCCGTACGCCCAAGGGTGTTCCTGTGGTTTACGTTTGAAAACTCAGCAAGTGCTTACTCCTCATTCCCCAAAGTCTGTCTGTTTTCTTGACTCATTGTGTTTAGTCTGTTACACTTGTGCCTAAACTTCACTGTATTTTTCAGACATCAAACATTTAGAGATGTGGTCTCTCCCTAAAAACCTGGCTGTGGGTTTTTATACACAAGGATTTGTAAAACTTGTTTTTGTAATTGCTCTGAGAGCATCACCTATGAAATACAAAATAGCTGCCTATTTCTGCCAAGTGAAAGATGAATAGTTTCTTTTATTTCATACATCCCTTTGAGGAAGCAGTTGAAGTTTCTCAGAAATAACTTTTACTGCTCATCTTGCTTTAATACAGTGTAGCTAACTACAACCACATGTGGACAATGTTGCTCTTTTGCTTTTATCAAGCTGATATTCAGACTGTAACTGCCTCTTTCAGACTCCTGCAACATTTGTGGTCGAGTGTCACATTTAACAATGTCTGTCAAGATGGAAGAAAATATGTGCCAATATCAAGTTTATTATATTGCACAGCTAAGATACGACTGTATTTGAGTTATTGAAAATATTGATTACTGTGGTTTTAGAATTGCAGAATTTGTTGCTAAATTTATTATGCCAACATAATGTTAGCATGTGATCATGATAAAGTTCATTATTTAAGTCTGCATGCTAGCATGCATTGGGCGAGGTAACATTAGTGTGTCTGTACCAAATTAGTTTACATCATTCAGTTGTTGATATATTTTCCTTGGACATTTTCACACTCTTTATGACCATAGCTGCTCTTCATTTACACAGTTGCTTCAGAAAGTATTCAGACCCCTTTACTTTTTGCACACTTTGCGTAGTATAATTCATTATAAAAAATTCTAATTGATACTTTGCTCATCATTCTACACTCAGTAACCCATAAGTGAATACATGTTTTTAGAAACATCTACAAATTTATTTAAAAAAAATTGAAACCTCTCACTTACAAACATATTCAGATCCTTAATTTAGTACTTAACAGAACACACAGTAAGAACACTTTGGCAGCAGTTAACACTTATGATTGACTGCATTCATCCTTCCCTACATGTCCAGGATGAATTCTTAAGTGTTGCCGCAAAGCCAGCTTTAGTTTCGGTGGTTCCACACTTCTTTCATTTCACAGTTATTGCAAAAATTTTATCAATTTAAGATTAAATCTGCAACACAACAAAGTGTGCCAAAAGTGAAGGGGTGTGACTACTTTCTGAAGTAACAGTACATGTGCAAATG